TCTTTGGAGGCTGACCTTCATGAACCATATCCCTAGCCTTGCTGTTCTCTGCCTCTGGATGGGGTTAAGCAAGAGGGAATACTGGCAGGAAATAAAAGGATGAAAGGAGGAGGAGGTTTGTGAGGTCAGAATATTTTTCCCCTTGCTCTTGTGAAGATGCTTAGGGCTGTGTTCCAAGATGAAACACTATTGTTTCTATGAAGCCAGACTTCTCCATGTGGCTTTTTCCTTCCACTCTTCTTAACTCTTTGTGCCTATCGTGAGATCAAGATTTAGCTCTTGATTCTGGGTCTTATCCACAATCTCTTATTATGCTCTGAGAACAACTTTGCAAAAAAGTTCTTCAGTAAACAAACTTTTCAATTATCCTGATAATTGAGTGATCCATCTTACTGGGTTCCTGATTTATGTAATAAAATGAATGTCCATTTAAATGTTAGTTTTATGCTTGCCAAATATGTTGATTTTTGTTTTAATATAGATGATTCTAAGCCAGCTATTAGTTGCGTCTTATGAAGGTCAGCCTGGTTAGCAATGATAAAATCATCTAAGAGAATAGAATGCTTATCTTTTTATTTCCCTTGGCAGAAGAATATGCATTCAATGAGGTAAAGGGAAGGAAGCTAGGACATCAGTTCTATTTTATAGCATTTAGAATTGCCATTTCAGTTGCCAGAATGTTCTTCTTCCCCATTATGATTCTGGCAGTACTGTATGCTAAGCTTTGAAGATGCATAAGTAGCCTGGGATTTATACCAAGATGATATGTGTTGATGAGAGGTTGATAAATATTACAAAAAGTCATTGTTATTAACTGTTTTATTGGTGAGATGGAACAAGATGTAATACTCAGAGATTTAAAGCTTGTGCCTGAAACATGTTTCCTTTTATGCATATCATGATCATTTGATATTGTGGGAGGAGGGCAGGGAGAGCTAGAGAGAGGGGAAGGGGGGAGAGAGAGAGAGAGAGAGCGCATGTCCATAAACGTGTTTTTAAACACATTTAAGATATTTAGAGAGCACAAAAATTCATACTTTATTGTACTTTACTTGTTTACTTATCTAAAAGTTGTACTCTCCAGCAGTTCTAGCAAGGGGGGCCCTGTGATGAAATTTTACAATGGTTATTACTTTTTTCTCCCACCTTCTACCTCCTGCAGAATCTATGTCATTCACCCAAAATGATCAATTTCTGGTGAGAAAATAAGATCTTCTAAGTTCATAGCCTTTCAAAGGAGTTACCCCTGGAAAGGCCTTTCCCCCACTTCCCACCCATACACAATTTTTTTTGGTCTTCCAAAGTCATTTCTAAAATATAAATGAAGGTGACTATATAGAATTATTCAGTGTGGTAGCAGCCAGTTTTTGATCTACTTATCTTTAGGTAATAAGGAAAACTTCCCAAAAGATAGTTTATATTTGCATCTCAGAAGAATTAATGATATATTACATTTATCCTTGATAATTTTTAGAGACAAAATTATTAATAGTCACTATCCATGATATTAGAGAAGATATCAGATGATTTGTCCAGCAAAGTGGCTGTGTTTTTCAGGATTCTATAACAAGGTACCACAAGTTGGAGTAGCTTGAAGAACAGAATGTATTGTCCCTCCATTCTGGTAGCTAAAATTTCTAAATTGGGATGTTGGCAGGATTGGTTCTTTCTGGGGACTAAGAGAGAAGTATCCATTTCAGAACTCTTTCCTTATAAAACATTTTCCCTCCTGTCTCTCTTCACATCATTCACTTAAATGTGTTTATATGCAAATATCCTCTTGGTGTTAAGTACCCTGGTTGTATTGGATTAGGGCTTACTCTAATGATCACATCTTGACTTGCTGACTTCCTTAAAAATATACTATCCTACCAGAGTCTAAGGACTCCATCATCTGAATTGTAAGCATTTCAGGGTGAGGAGTGCACAATATAATTCATAATCATAGTTATGTAAAGTCTGACATTTTGATCTTCCAACATCTAATGTTTTGTTGTTTTGTTTCAGTTATATATCACATGATTTATAATATTCATGATTTGGTTGTTGTCAAGAAGAATATTTACTTTTCTTTCTTTTTTTTTTAATAATGTAGGAGCACTGCTGTTTGTTCAGCCATTGATTAAGCTGATTGAATTGGGCATGAACCCACATTACTTTTTTATTTTATTGTATCACTGTGAGAGAGAGTTACAAAGCTTTCATGTCTGAGATTCAGCCATACAATGATGAAACATTCATCCCTACACCAGTGCACATTTTCTACCACCAATGTCCCAAGTATCACTCCCACTCACATACATACACATCGCAGTCCTCACCCTGCCTCTATGGCAGAAAACTTCCCAAATACTCTCTCTCTAATTTGGGGTATTAATTTTGCTCGAATTTTCCCACCACCATTCAAGTCTACCTGCCAGGGGGAGATACTAGATAATATATTTTCCATAGTTCATTTCGAATATCACGAGAATTCACGTAGGTGTGATTGTAAATGTAAGTTTCTAGATTGTAAATGGCTGTGTTCCAGAGACATCTCTGTATGGCACTAATCCATTTTGGGATTCAGCTGGGATCCTCTGGGCCAGGGCCGTTGGTGTGCTAAGATGACATCCAGAGGCAAATTGTGGGAGGGACAGCCAGTCTTCTGAGCAGCTGGTGACCCATGGAGGACAGCCCAGGTCCTCTGCCACCATGCGGCCTGGAGATTTAGTCCCGAAACCCACATACCTGGGCCTTGCTTTGAAAGCTCTTGGTCACCAGGATTCCATCTGGAGTAGGCGGGGAGACTGCACCTGCTCCATCTGGGGTGTCTTGGTGATATTGGCTCAGTGTGGGGCCTGGAGAGATCTTAGGCGCTATGGGGTCTTCTGGGACTTGCTGCTGTGTCTCTGGGCCAGGGCTGTTGGTGTGCTAAGATGGTGCCCGGAGGCTACTTGTGGAAGACAGCCAGTCTTCTGGGCAGATGGGGAGAATATTTACTTTTCTACAAAGGTAGAATTCAGTATGTGAGAATCTCAGATTTTCTCAGACAGTTCAAATAATTTATTTTAGGAGAATATAAATTCAAAGTAAAATTTGAGGAGTTTAAATCTTATTAAAGTAGCCTGAAAATAAACATCTTGAAGATAAAAATTAAACTGGAGAGAGAGAGAGCGAGAGCAAGAGCGACAGAGAGAGAGAGAGAGAGAGAGAAAGAGAGAGGGAGGGAGAGGGAGAGGGAGAGAGAGAGAGAGAGAGAGGGAGGGAGAGGGAGAGAGAGAGGGAGAGAGAGGGAGGGAGAGGGAGAGAGAGAGGGAGAGAGAGAGAGATCAATGGACTAAGTACATTCTGTATACAGAAGGCCCGGGTTTAATCCCTGGTTCTCCATGGTCCCCAAGAGCATCCCTGGTAATGCCCACAGCACTTCCAGCATTCCACCTTTCCCCAAAAAATGATCATGATCATGACCATCCGGTTGTTCGTCGATTGCCTCAAGCAGGCCCCAGTAACGTCTCCTTCGTCCTAGCCCTGAGATTTTTTTTAAAAGTGCCCCAAAAAACAGAAACAAAAAAAGAAATAATTTTATTTCTTAACCAAGAGTGATGAATATTTGGAAGTTAAAAGTGGAATTTTCCTAGGCTTGTTTTCCCCTATACTGCTCTTTGTATGATTAGATTTAGGTGACAGTAAATAAAAGTGCTCAGCTATTCTTCCCTTTGACTTGAATCTCTCTGTCCTAGAAAAGGGGTGCCAGGAAAACAAATTTTCCTTCTAGATGTCAATGGGTCAAGCCTTGACAACATCATGGCCAATTTTAGCATAGAATTCTCCTAAAAATCATTTTTTTAGTTGAGGGATGCTTAATGTAAAAGGTTAAAAGGCAGACAAACTGGTGTTGAACAACTTAGAAAACTGCAGAATATTTTTGTTGTGTTAAGTGATCTTTCAGGGAAGGTAGAGCTAAGTAAGAAAAGTAAGATTTTAGTTCCTTTTTCATGCCACCAAGATCAGAATGGGTTGCTCATGCTTACATGGTGAAAATTGTTTTGATTAAGAATTGTGTCATTCAAAAATTACAGGACCGCTGAATAGAAAAGAAAGGCATTTGTTGGGAGATGGGGGCCAGAGAGACAGTATAGCAGGTAGAGTGTTTGTCTTGCACTTTACCAACTGATGTTCAATCCCTGGCATCACATGTGGTCCCCCAAGCACTATCAGGAATAACCCCTGAGCATTGCTGAGTGTGAGGTCGTCATCCCCCAACAAAAAAAAAACAGAAAGAAAGAAAGAAAGAAAGAAAGGAAAGAAAGAAAGAAAGAAAGAAAGATAGAAAGAAAGAAAGAATGCTTTTTTGGGGGAAAGAGTCAATTTATAAGTTGGAAAGTATTCTTAAGCAGCACAGGCTATAGAGCAAGTGTAGACCAGTGGGGATTTGATTTTATGCCATAGAGATTCAGGGCAAGACAATCGTCTATTTCTGTTTATAAGTTTTCCAGGAAAAATCATGAATATTTATAAGTGAGAAAGGTAGGCATGTACTGTGGAGGAGGATAAAAATAACATTCTCATGTACTTCTTGCACAAGATGGTAGAGAAAAGTCAATTGGTTGTTTCTTAGTGCATTGATGAGGGTAGGTGACTTGTTGGTCAAGGAGTTCATGGTTCAGCCTTCCTGATGAGTTCTATCCAGCCTATGATCCTGATCAATGTAAAGAAACCAGTCCAAGCAATGTCTTCTATGGGAGGACTGTCATATCTTCTAAACTATAATCCCTGGATGGTGTAATGGGTTTTGTTTTATTAACCCTAGAGTGTTTGTTTTGACAGAAAGAAATGGGGGACACAGAGTTTTACAAGGTTTCTATTATTTGATTACAAAAAAAAATCGCATTATATTGCATTTTTGGGTAATTATCTTATTCTTCCTCTTCTTTTGCTCATAAGGAAAAAGACAACCCGATAATCAGATAAATAACATGATTGGCTCAAGTGCATAACTTATAACTTTTTTTTTCTAGATCAATATATTGTTCGCCCAGGAGAGCTGCTGTGATGAAGAGTTCAGGAATCATGGACAAAGGTATACTATAAATTGTCCAGTGATGTTTACAGAGCATGGTCTATAACACCAAGTAAAAGAATATTCCTTAGTTCTTAAAAGAGGTAATAGTTCCAAGGATTTATACCCTGTACTCTTCCTCCTTGAGAGTTTTTCCAAAGTCTATCTTTTGAGTGACTAGACTTCCAATATAGGCTGTCACATTCCAATAAACTTCATCCTATGGTTCTCCAAGTTCTTCAGAGATGAAATAATCAGCAATAAACTTACTGATGAAAGAAAAAGTTTTAAAAAGTAGTTTTTAAATGGTATTTATACCTACTACAAAACATCGAAGAGCCCCAGAAAGACTAATAACTTGTCCACTTGACTTTAAACATCCCTTCGCTAAGGAAAAGATGGAGACCAATGAACAGAAGAGATTGAGATAAAATAATGAAGATTAAATGGGGTGGTTATCAAGGAAGGCACAGTAAAACAATGCTAAGAAAGATTAGTTCTTTTCTGATACAGTGAGGGGGTTTCCCTTACAGAGAGACATTAAGAGAGATATGCCCTGAATTCTCAGTTTCTATGAGTCTCAACTGCAGCATTAAGTTATATGTACCCTCTAGTCTAGTCTGGACATATCTGTTCCGGAGGGGGGTATTGAGATCAATTTTTTCCCAGTAGAAGCATTTAATGAAAGATTTACCTGTCATGACTCTTGTAGCCTTTACTTCTTCTTGTCTCTGGAATTCAGATGCAATGCCTGAGAGTGCAGCAGACCTCTTGTGACCAGGATGTGACAAGCACCAGATGAAGATAAATGGTTATGATTTTTTCCCCCAGAGGCAGCCTTCACCACTTTCAAACCCTTCTTATGAAGCATATTGTTGAGTGGCAGAATTTTACTCCAAACCAAGACAAAATTTCAGTGCTTAAGCCAATTTGGTAGAGGCCACCAATTCTATTCTTCTCTATTATTCATCAAATTAGAATATGATGAATATATTGGCTTATCTCTTCAGTGGCCATACTTATGAATATTGGAATACTGGAGACTTGGTAATCTCTTGAATGAAGAAGACATTCGACTTCACCTAACCAGACATTCCCCAAATTGTATGACCACAAAATCTTGCTTTTTTTCCACATAAAACCTGCAGTTGCAAGCAATGCATTTAGGAAGTTCTGTTTTTAAATATGCATAAATTTACAAGAGACATATATGAGGGAATATTTTTAAAGATCAGATTTATAAACTATAGAACAAGAGATGTATAGCAATATCCCTTTAGGCTACTTAGTATCAAAATTTATAATCTCTCACAAAATATCCCTTGTAGCTATTGGCAGGGATTGAATAAGTTAATTAGTGTTTCTATTTACTAGGATCTTTCTTGATTGTGGGGGTGCATATTTAGTCTGGTATATCAGTGGATTATGAAAGAAAAGGCTGGAGCGATAGCACAGCGGTAGGGCGTTTGCCTTGCACGCAGCCAACATGGCCGACCCGAGTTCGATTCCTCCGCCCCTCTCGGAGAGCCCGGCAAGCTACCGAGAGTATTCGATATGCCAGACACAGTAACAACAAAGTCTCCAATGGAGACGTTACTGGGCCCGCTCGAGCAAATCGATGATCAACGGGAGGGCCTTTACTTTTACCTTTATGAAAGAAAAAGAAATTGGGCTAACAATTCGAAGGCAAGATAAGTTGACTCTACAGATTTGTGATACGACATATCAGCAAGATATTTTCTTCCCCATACTAGTTCATGCAGGTGTCATTGCATGACTTCCTGTCCTCTGTCAAAAGGCAGGTCTTTGGTATCAGCACAGCTCTCAGAATGTTTCGGATCTCAGCAAATGTTGTCTAGAGGTGAAAAGGAGGAGGAGGAGAAGGAGAAGGAGGAGGAGGTGGCTGTCAGACTGATGACATAATGTCTAAATGTAGGGGAGAAGGAGCAGAGTGTTGAGTACAAAGGATTGCATAGTTCTAGAGAAGGTGTCATGGACCATATGACACCCTCTAGAAGCCATTCAGCATAGCCTTGTTGTCCATGCTGGATGAATAGTTAAATGCTCCTCTTGATTTAGATAATAGAAACTCTCTTAAGCTAGCTTAGGGAAAAGAAAAAGGACACTGGGTCGAGGCCGCCACAGAGATGAAATAAAAAAATTTGAATGACCAAGTCTGCAATAAGTTCATAAATATAGCCATTGAAAAGATATACCCTCAACTTTTAGTTTCTATGAGTCTCAGATGCAGCATTAAGTTACATGTCTCCCGCTAGTCTAGTCTGGACATATGTGTTCAGGAGAGGGGGTATTGAGATCAATGTTCCCCCAATAAAAGCATTTCACAAAAGATTTGGCCTGTCACGACTATCGTAGCCTTTACTTCTTCTTGTCTCTGGAATGCAGATGCAATGCCTGAGAGTGCAGCAGACCTCTTGTGACCGGGTGTGACAAGCACCAGAAGAAAGTTATGCTAGGAACAGAAAGCGCAAAGGAGAAAGAGTCAACGTGTCAGCATGACTGAGCTGCCACATGGACACTAGCCTGTTTACCTCCCTATTTGTTCTGACTTGCGCCAAACCAGAACCTGTTTATTGCCGTCATCATGAACCATAATAGGTTTGGATTGTTACTTATAACAATATAAGTGCAAAAATTTATTCAGTGAAAACATGGATTCCAGGAACCAGCTCCTGTGAAACAGAGAATGATTATCAAATCTTTAGTGGAAGAGAGAGGAGGGGACAAGTCATTAAATAGTAAGATATCAAAAAGTTTCTACAAAAGCTAACCAGAAGGCTGATAATCTCACTATTGCTGCTGAATGCTGAGAATAAAACCCTCTCGTGCCAGCCCACACTTTGATAGGATTATTTCATCAAGCAATTAATTTTAGTAATAGTTACCGATCCCCTATGCCCTGCTACATATTTTTCTAGGCACTGGGGACAGAATGGGGACAAGAGAAGATCTTGGATCTCATTCTTGGATCTCATAATATCCCAAAGGAAAAAATAGATAGTAAACAAGAACGCTAAATGAGCAGAGTCATTTTGGATAATGAGACATCCTGTATGAAATGTAGAATGGAATGTCATGATGCAATGTGAGAGGCAGGTATGTGGAAGGCCTAAGAATGAGATCACTGAAGTGAAGCTTGAATTGTCAGAAGGAAGCAGACGTGTTAGGCTTAAGGCCCAGGCCAATATGGAGAGAGGGGCCTGTGCAGAGATCTAAGTCAGGAGAGAGCATGCCCCGGGGCAAACTCAGAATGAATTATTAGCAGATGTCACCTGAGAGGTGATCCAGGAAGTCATCCATGCTCATCTTGTGACCACTCCTGCCACTCAGCTCACCTTCCTGATAGTGCTGTTTCATGGGTGACTTTTCCTATCCCCCGCTTCAGGTTTGGAGAATCTTGGGGACAGGAGGGTCTGTCGGAGGGTGTGTGTAATAGACTCTGAGTGATGGATCATCTTCTTTCCCGTTAAGAATGGAGCCATCATTTCCAGCAAAGGGAGCTGACTTCCTTTGAAATGGGGTCAACCGCATTTGAGGATTGGCAGAGGATTCAGCAGACACCCAGCTGCTTCAGCACCACGTTTCAGCCATTCTCCCAAGCTTCAGCTGGCATATTTGACATGTTTCCCTGTGAACAGACCAAAGCAGAGAGGCAGCAAGGACAGGAGGGCCCCAGTTCTGACTCCCAGCCTGGCAGGACTGGTCCTACCCGGCATCATTTTCAAGTGATACTTATCAGAGGCAGTCACATGAGAGCACAAGGCCCAAGCTCATTCAAAGGTCATCCTGTCCTGCATTCTTCTTGTGTCTGCCATTACCCGGAACAAACATGCTGGAGTGCCACCACCCCCACCTGTCACAGGCTGCTTGCTAAACCAGATCTCCATTTCGCTCCAGTAGAGAAAATACTTCTCTCTTCTCTAATGTTTCATCTTGGGGCCAGTTGGAACCATCCTTATCATATCTCTGGGTTGTTATATTTGCTCTGGGAAATTTCCACCTTAGGTAAGATGATCTGAAATCACCCAAACTACCCCTTAGATGCCCTAGGTTTAGTTTTAGTTCTAGGACAAAACAAATTACAAGACAACACAGTGAGAATAGTTCTTATTAATCAAAACCCCTCCTCTAGTAAGTGAAAAAAATGACCTGACATGCAATATTAACACTACTACAGAGGGAGGCTTTGGAGATCTACAGAGGTATATTGGACATATTTATAGCATTTTGGTAACGTGGAATTTTGACCTTGCAACAAGGGCAAATCAATCTGTTTGTAAGCAACACAAAGGTCTCTGTGCCTCTCTCTGGGGTTTGTCTCTCACCATCAACTGTGTAGACATCCGTTCTCTCAATTCACATGCAAGAAAAATGGAGAAGACAGTCTACTTAGTAAGCCACAACACTGAACTCAAGCTTATTCCCTGTAACTTATTTGCTGTCAATTCAAAGTTCATCTCCAATTTGGCCTCTGGGGCTAGAGAGACGAGGCACTGAGTACGTTAGCCACATCTTAGGAGTTCCAAAGCATATATTCTAAGTTGCTGGGATACTCCTTTCAGAAAAGGGACTCTGAATTTTATGAAACTTCCCTCACCTTCACTGAGAGGAGAACACTTTCCTCTCAGATCTGAAGCAGAATATGCCCTGGCTCCATTCATAGCTTGGCACAGCCATTCTAATATTGCCACCACTTACTCAAAATACCACCTCCCGGACAGGACAAGGTGTGGCACCTTGAAGTTCAGCCTATGAGAATTAACTGGCTTCGGTTACAACCTGGCTCTACCACTGATTCTGGATAGCCTAAGATATAAAATGGTTTTTTTTGTCTCTCTGTTTTCTTCTCTGTAAAATGGGCCCAGCAATAGTTTTGCAAGAGAAGGAGGGGACATGAAGAATTGTGCTGTCTCTTTTGTCTTGACAGAGCTGAAAGAG